AAAAGTCTTCCTAAAGGACCACCAGGAACCCTCTCAATGGAAGGAACCTTTTCCAGACCAAAAAGTCTTTCCAAAGGACGAACAAAAAGTCTTCCAAAAGGACCACCAACAATTTTCCAAAGGACCACCACCAATTTTTTTTTTGGGTTTTGGGGTAACCCAAAAGGACTCAAAGGACCACCAAAATGTCTTTCCAAAGGACCACCGAAAAACCACCAAAGGTCTTTCAAAGGGACGACCAAAAGTTTTCCAAAGACCAGACCAGAAGGTATTCTCCAGACCAAAAAGTCTAGCAAAGGACGAACAAAAATCTTTCCAAAAGGACGAAGAAAATTTTTCCAAAGGACCACCAAAAATTTTCAAAAAAAGAGGAAAAGTTATCTCAAAGGACGATCAAAAAGTCTTCTCAAAGGACTACCAAAAAGACTTCCTAAAGGACCACCAGGAACCCTTCTCAATGGACGACCAATAGGTCTTCTTAAAGGATGACCAAAAAGTTTTCCCAAAGACTAGACCAGAAGATATTCTCCAGACCAAAAAGTCCTGCAAAGGACGACCAAAAAGTTTTCCAAAAGGACGACCAACAATTTTTCCAAGAACCACCAAAATTTTCTCAAAAAGAAGAACAATTTACACGAAAGGACAATCAAAAAGTCTTCTCAAAGGACTACCAAAAAGTCTTCTCAAAGTACGACCAATAGGTCTATTCAAAGGATGACAAAAAATCTTCCCAAAAAAGACAAAAAGGCTTTCCAAGGGCGAACAAAACGTCTGCTCAAGAGACGACCAAGAACCCTTCTCAAAAGTCGACAAATAGGTTTTCCAAAGAATGACCACTAGGTCCTCTCAAAGGAGAAACCAGAAAGTTTCCGAAAAGACGACCAAATTTTCCCCAAATGACCAATAGGTTCCTCAAAAGAAAACAAAAAGGTCTTCTCAAAAGCGACCAAAATCTTCTGAAAGGATGACCAACAAATTTCGCAAAGGACGACCAATAGGTCTTCTCGAAGAGGACCAAAAGTCTTCCCATGGATGGCCCAAAACTTTCTCAGAGGACGATCAAAAATCCTATCAACAGGAGATCCGAAGTTCGTCTTTAGGAAAATAGAGTGGTCTTCTTAAGGAGAGATCATCAGATCGAGAAAGAGAGATTAATATGTCTTCTAATAGAAAAGCCTATAAGTCTTTTGGAAGATTAATGGGTTAATAACAACACCAAAAGACTTCCCAAAAAGAACTCCAATAGGTCTCCTCTAGGACTCTTATAGAAGTCCGAAATACATATTCAAACACACACAACAAACCCTCATAAAGAGAGAGATAGGGAGAGAAAGGAAAAAGTCTTCTAATGGATGGTCTTCTAAGGGGAGATCCATATGCCCTTTTATTGGAACATCAAAAGGCCTGCCAATAGAAACTCCAATAAATCTACTCTTGGACTTTACATAGGAGTCCAAAAGTACATTCTTACACTCTCGTCCACAAAATACTCTCGCAAAGAAAGTTTGTTCGCTTTTCCTATTTGAAGTCCGGTACATAAAAATTTTCTCTAATAGAATATCTCTAGGACATTTAAAGGAGACCAATTGGATATTCTTGGAACACCTTTGAGCACATGAGGTGGTATATCTTCTCCGACACCCTGCGTAGGTCTTCTCTAGGAATTCCTATCTCCAAAGTCCAAATTATCCAATTAAGGACACCCAAATAGTCCCCCACAAAGAAAGGTATTCTCTCCTCTTATTAAAATCCAGTTTCTCAATAACCCACCTCTTTTAAAAATTGCAAAACATTTACCGAAATTTACTTACTTAAAAAAATCCTCCTTGCAAAACAGCTGGCCATTGCGGGCGAAACATTTATCATTCAGCTGGGCATGACACTCGCTGCACTGCAAACACTTGGCATGCCACGTCCGTTCCAGCACCTTTAAAACGAATCGATCCAGTATCAGTTCATGACAGCCTCCACATTTGGGTATTGTTGCTGTAAATAAAGATGAAGAAAAGACAAAAAAATGAAAGAAAGAAAGGAAAAATGAAAGAATGTAACACGGCAAGACATAAAATAGGCAGAAGACGTAGAAGAGGAGCAAAAAAAAAAAAAAAAATCGGGACAACAAGGAAGGAGCCATCATTCTCCCCAAGCTATTGATAAATGTCGAGGGTAGAGGTAAATACGCTTTAATCCTTAAAGTAAGAATCACTTTAACAACAGAGATTCAAATAAAGGAATTACAAAACTCCCAGATCCTTTTCAAAAACCTATGTGTTTGTGTGTGGTGTTTCTCTCTCTCTTAATAATAAATGAGGTTATGTCCGCTTCCAAATAGCCAGCAAATAGATTTCCTAAACAAAAATGCAGAGAAAAAACATTCCTCTCCTTCCATTTGAAATTATTATTTATAAAGGATAACTGTTATCCTTTATAGTTTATTGAAATCCTTTTCGTTTTATTTGCCATAAAAATGCCATACATCATAATTCCTTTAACCTAATTTTTCCCCAATTCAACATTTTGCAATACGAAAATGTGGAGCAAAAACAACAACAATATGGTAAAGGATTTAAATGTGAGTGTCATAAATCCTTTGGAGTGTTCGGTACAATAAAAATTTGTACAGAGTATCGATTCGAAAAGCGGTAGAAAATTCCAGCAGCATTAGAAATTGTTTTGAAGTACCTCAGTTGCCCACAATTGGGCGCCATTTAAAATAAACTGGCGAAAATGGGCTTTACATTTTGGACCTGCTGACTGTTTCTTACTTTTAATGGGGCTCTATTGAGTCGAAGTTCTAGAGATAAACAAAAATGTTAGAAATTATAGATTCCTTGTGACGTTTCCTGACTTTTTCCAAGAGACTTTTCAACATCGGACCTTATTAGATTGAAGATATTATCTTGTAATAAGCACCGTTTATATTTATATTTATCACATTTTTAGCTCACAATTTTAATAAAATAAATGTTAGTAACAAAAAAGAACATTCGAATTTTTTTCTAATTTTGCTCTTAATTCACACTTTACGTTGGGCGCCACTTCAATGAAATCAACACCATAAACCTTGAGTCTTACTTATTTAGCTAATCAGTTTTGGTTGGATTTCCATTTAGTTCTAGAATAATTTTAACAAGTAAAAAAAGCTATAAGTTCGGTCGGCCGAACTTTTAATACCCTCCACCATTTGGAACGAATTTGGAAATTTTCAAAAAATAAAATCCTAAAAAATTCTATTGAAATTTTAAAATACCGAATATAGGTTATATTGGAGTCTATACGATGTGGACTACATAGCATTGTTTGTCATAAGTCATTACCATATTCAAATTTGAAACTTGAAATAAACGGTGAATAACGTAGCCAAAATCATCAAAATATCGCATATAGGGAGGTACCGTTATATCGGAGCTGTGCGAAGACCTGAACCAGCATAGACAAATTCTGTCTTAGGCTGTAGCATCCATTACGAACTTCAAATACGACATCTCAAACAATTTCGGTGGGTATTGTACCTAAACTCGTCAAAATACCGAATATAGGGAGGTACTGGTATATGGGGCCTATACGAAGACCTTTGCCTGCATGGACAATTTTTTGTCTTAGACTGTAGTATCCATTACGAACTTCAAGTAACGAATTTGAAACAATTCCGGTGAAAAATGTCGCTAAAACCATCAAAATACCGAATATCGGGGAGTACGTTATATGGGGGCTATACGAAGATGTGGACCTGCACAGTACATTTTTTGTTTTAGACTGTAGTATCCATTACAAACTTCAAGTAACGAATTTGCAACAATTCCTGTCAATAATGTCGCTAAAATCATCAAAATACCGAATATCGGGAGGTACCGCTATATGGGGGCTATACGAAGACGTGGATCTGCACAGACAATTTTCTGTCTTAGACTGTAGTATCCATTACGAACTTCAAGTACCGAATTTGAAACTATTCCCGTGAAAAATATCGGTAAAATCATCAAAATACCGAATATCGGGAGGTAACGTTATATGGGGGCTATGCGAAGACGTGGACCTGCACAGACAATTTCCTCTCTTAGACTTAAGTATCCATTACGAACTTCAAGTACCGAATTTGAAACAATTCCTGTGAAAAATATCGGTAAAATCATCAAAATACCGAATATAAGGAGGTACTGGTATATGGGGCCTATACGAAGATCTTTGCCTGCATGGACAATTTTCTTTCACAGACTGTAGTTCCCAATACGAACTCTAAATACGTAATTTGAAACAATTGCGATAAATAATGTCGCCAAAATCATCAAAATAACGAATATCGGGGAGAACGTATATGAGGGCTATACGAAGACGTGGACCTGCACAGACGATTTTTTGTCATAGGCTGTAGTATTCATTTTAAACTTCAAATACCAAATTAAAACAATTCCGGTGAAAAATATCGGTAAAATCATCAAAATAACGAATATCGGGAGGTACTGTTATATGGGGGCTATACGAAGACCTTTGCCTGCATGGACAATTTTTTGTCTTAGACTGTAGTATCCATTACGGACTTCATGTACCGAATTTGAAACAATTCCGATGAATAATGTCGCCAAAATCATCAAAATACCGAATATTGTAAGGTACAGTTATATGGGGGCTATAGGAAGTCGTGGACCTGCACAGAGATGTTCTGTCATAGGCTGTAGTATTCATTTTAAACTTCAAATACCAAATTTGAAACAATTCCGGTGAAAAATATCGGTAAAATCATCAAAATAACGAATATCGGGGAGTACCGTTATATGGGGGCTATACTAAAACATGGACCTACATGACCCATTTTCAATACCAAAAGTCCTGCAGACACAATATACATTTGAGTAAAAATTTATCAATCTACCTCAATTTGTTCGGAAGCTACAGTGATTTCCACAAACGGACAGACGGACGGACATCGCTAAATCGACATAGAATTTTATGCTGATCAGAAATATATATACTTTGTGGTGTCTAAAATGTATATTTCGAGGTGTTACAACGGAATGACAAAACTTAATATACCCTCCATACTATGGTGGAGGATATAAAAATCGGAGCCACTTTTCCTATGTCGGATTGTTTTCTTGAGCACCTCTTTGTTCACATTTCATGTTTAAGTGGCAACTTAATCAAATTTGGGTGGATTTCTGGAGATGTTTTAATGGTACATGTTGGGCGCCACTTAAATCAAAAGGACTCTAAAAAGTGTTGTTTTGTTTTAATAGTTAACATAGATTGCAAGAAGGTCTTGATTTGTTAAAATTTTACATTGGGCGCCATTTTGATACCACCTTGGGTTGATTTCGTTTTAGGGTTTGCACAGTGAACATTTAACGTTGGGCGCCATTGAAGGAAATAATTATTCTAACAAAGAAATCTGTTTATCTCTTCTGGATTAATTCTTGGTTAACAGAGGTTGAAACAAAATTTTCTTTGTTCTCATTGCAGTTGGGATCTTTTAATGGTAAGGATGGCACATTGTTCATATTTACGATGAGCGCCACTTCTTCACTGAATTAAATGACATAATCGTAGTGTTTAATCTCGCCATTAAAGGAAATAACGATTACACAAAGAAAGTCTGTTTTGATTATTTTCCTGGCATTATTTCGTGGATAAATTGATTTGGAAGATTCGAAATTTTCAAATTTTCATTTTTTTCTTATTCAATATATATTTTGAGAAGCTCCTCATTGTTCAGATTTTACATTGCATGGCATTTCAATAAAATTGATTCCACAATCCTAGTGTATTATGTCTTTACATAATCATCTTTGAATTGGATTCCTTAGTGGATATTCATAATACCGTTGGGCTCAGTTAAAGGCAAGAATGATTCCAACAAAGGATGGCTTTCACGTTTTACGTTAGGCGCCGCTTCAATAAATTGATGCTAAAATCATAGCGTTTCGTTTTTTATTTTGCCCAACTAACTTCGATTTGGATTTCTTTAGACATTTTTCATAATAAACGTTGGGCGCCATTAAAGGCAATAATGATTGTTCATGATTAATAAATGGCCTACAAGGTATTTGGGTTCATAACCATTGCCGTGGGAGGGGAATACTCCAATATGACATTTTTGAAACTCCTTTAGGAATTATTAACAATTTTTCCATTCCATTTTCATATTTTAACATTGGGCGCCATTTTTACAAAGACCTTTGTTTTATTAAACAGCTCTTCGATGTTTTCGTGGCCTCATATTGGGTGTGTGATGTTCTTATTAACTTCGGTTTTGCGTTGGTTGCCATTTCAGTAAAACTGGATTAACTGCCCAAAATCGTAAAGCTTCAATAAGTTTGATAACCAGGATCACATTTGGGTTCCTGATTATTTTTATTACATATAATTTTTCTTAGTACAGATTTCAGATTGGGCGCCATTTCAATCAATTTCAATGGCGTAGATATATGATAATCCTTATATTCGAGACCTTTTATTTGAAGGTTATACCTCTCTGTATAAAGAATATATTATTTACCATATCACAATACTGCTTCGGACTTCAATTTTCCAGATCAAAAATTCCATTTGGAGCCATATTCTTCTGGGTTCCTTTTTTTTTTGATAAAATTCAAATTATGTTAAAAAAGATATTTTAACTACCAAAAAAATATGGTTTCATTTTGCCTTCAAGACAGACTCAAGGCTAACATTAATATCCTGAATATCTGAGAACACATTACTACTGATTTTAATTATTAGGTAGCATTTCCATCATCACATGGGTACGGTAAATGCAAGAAATCTGCTAAAATCCAAACAGATCTTGCTTTACACCAAAATCCTGAACCTCCTTAAGCGAAGCCCGCCGAATTGATTGTGTTGTGTTTTAAGTTCAGATGCTAATGGGTAGTTGTCCCATTGTTCAAGCTTCTCAAAATCAGTTTTTTTACACCCTACAACACTATGTGTTGGGGTTATTATACCTCTGATCGAATCAACAAATTATATAACACCTCGGACTATTGGTT